GTAGAAAAGGAAAACACTAATTGAACTCTTGACTCTGATCTTTATTCAGGCTGATATTTCTTCTAATCACCCTCTTATTTCCCATCTTTGGGGTGGGATCAAGTAATATCCAGGAGTCTAGTCTTTGTAATTATTCCCATATATCTCTTATTGTATGACTTTTCCTCCTTGAGGCTTGGAAAAGGGCTTCAAAATGGGCAAAGAAGGAAACGGAAGAGTCTTCAGCAAATGGGACATAGGGGAAAATTACAACATTGAACATTCAAAATTAGCTCTAGGGATTGCTCTTGGAATCTTCATTTCCAAACCAGTTTCTCTTATACATCATACAGAAGCCACTGAAAAGTAGTGACAGAGGTCATAAGAAGGAATGGTTTTGCACTGTTGTTGTTGTTGTTGTTGTTGTTGTTGTTGTTTGACAGCATCTCATTATATAGCCCTGGCTTGGGATTCACAGATATGAGTGCCACCATGTTGTAACAAACAGTGCTCAATGGCTATCACTCTAAACAGTTCCCTACTTCAGGACCTCCTTCAATATGTGTGATCTGGACATGAAGGCATGTCTGTATAGCTGCATTTACTTTGTAAGCTGAAATAATTGGCAAGAAATAATAGTACTAAAGACTATAAATTTAAATTCTTGTCATCTTAACCTTTAACACTGGGGTGGGAGTTGGAGGGAGGACCTTGCATGTAGTGTGTTCACCAAACTCCTACTGAGCTAGTAACAAAGACAGGTAACAATGTTTTGATTCATTTGTTATAAATGATTTGTGGAAAGGGCCAAACAACCAAGAGAAAAGACAGAACTTTAGAGCATTCATTTTAGATGAAACCAGGAGGAGAGGAGGAGAAGAAGGGCTTCAAACAAATGAACAGCCATCTGAAGCCACAGATCTCAATTTGTGCTTCAAAACCTTTTGAGAGTGGAGTGACCCTCACAGGAGTAACCTAAGACCATTGAAAAATACATATAGTTATATTAAGATTCATAACAGTAGCAAAGTTAGTTATGAAGTAACAAAGATTTTATGGTTGGGGGGCCACCACAACACAAGGAAGTGTATCTAGTCACAGCACTAGGAGGGTTGAGAACCACTAAGAAGTTTATCCAGGTTACAAAAACACCAATGAGAGCAGCAATGGGCCAGGACACTGTAAACAAATACTTTCAGGATGCGTTTACTTAATGCTAAAGCAGAAATCAGTTATAAGAGGGTTACTAGAGGGATCTGCATCATTCTGCTTAAGCAAGTGGAGTCTGCAAGTGGCATAAAAGATAAATTACTCGTTTGTTCCTCCACATAGCATTTTGCTCACCCAGTGCTTTCAAAAGCAAACAATACACTGCACACTGTTCTGCCCAGACTGTAGACAAATGGAGGGCAGGGACGACTGAGAAATGCTCTACTAAAATGTGTTACTTAACTTTCAGCATACTGTAGATAGCATTTTTAAACTAGCACTTAAATTATTTTTTATTTCCAATTAGAAACCACCACTCATTATGCAATAAAGAAAAAACTCAAATGAAGCCAGCAGATTTTAGTGTCTCTTAATCCGTGGTAAAAATAGTCTCAGACCACCCAATTTTCCTATGAATCAGGTAAAAATGATTCAACTAATGAATACTTACAGCACTGCAGTACCTAGTACTTACCGTGAGATTTACCAGAGTGTCCATCCAACAGACAAGAACCATGGACTGACTAGTAGTTTAAAATAAATTATACATTTTGCCAGAATGGGCAAGCAATCATGTTCAGGATGTTCATTTTCAGAAATTATGTCTCCCTTACCTAATAATAATCAAACCCTCAGGTTACTATATGGGAACAAATCATGTGAAAATGTGGGTTTTTTTCTTCTATTTTCCTTTTATTGAAGATTTCTTATTCATACAATATATTCTGATTATGGTTTAATTCCCCCAACTCCTTCCAGATTCTCCCTATCTCACCTCCCATACAAATCCACACTCTTTCTTGCTCTCCCTTGTCAGAAAACAAACAGGCATCTCAAAACTAATAATAAAATAAAAGATAAAAAAGAGGAATGTGACAAAACAAACAAGAAAAAAGCCAATGAAAAACACTTATAGATGCAGAGACATACACATAACTCCCATAAAACACAAAACTATAAGCTATAATACATACACAAAGCAACTATAAGGTTAAAAAAAACTGAGACAAAGAACCTCCAAAAGCATGCCATTGAGTTGGTTTTGTCGTGACCATCTACTGCTGGACATATGGCCTGGCCTTAAGTGTGGTTTGTTCCCCCAGTGAGACTCAGTTGGAGAAAACTAATTTTTCAATTGCAAGCAGTTACTTCTCTTTTCAGCACTAGGACCCCAGTGTGGCCCAGACCTGTGCAGGCCCTCTTTGTGCTGCCTCCCTCTCTGTGAATTCATGTCTGCTGCTCACTGTGTTCAGAGGGCCTTGTTTCCTTGGTGCCCCCCATCCTCTCTGGATCCTACAATCTGCCTTCTTTTCTGCAGGGTTCCCTGAATCTTGAAAGCAGAGATTTGATGGAAACATCCCATTAAGGACTGGGTGTTCCAAAGTGTCTCATTCTATATATATTGTCTGACTGTGTATCTTGTAATTATCCCCATCTGCTGCAGGAGGAAGCTTCTCTGATGATGGCTGAGCAAGGAGGCACTGGTCTATGAGTATAGCAGAATGTCATTAGGAGTCCCTTATCTATCTAGTCTCAGGTTCTCGGCCACTCAAGCACCATTGTGTATGAGTTCCATTTCCTAGAGTAGGACATACATTCAATCAGATATTGGTTAGTTATTCCTGCAATTTTTGTACCACTACTGCCCCTGTGTATCTTGCAGGCAGGTCATAATTGTAGATGAAAGGGTTTGTAGCTGGGTTAGAGTTTACCTTTCTCTTTGGAAGCATTCTAAGTACCTTCCAGTAACACGAACACCAGTTCATAGGGGTGAAGGCCCTACGTAGGCAATAGCTCCACTTCTCCATGCTCAGTGGGTTGTGTAGGTGTTGAATGTATCAGTAGAGCTTTACTATCGGCTAGTGGAGAGCCACCAATAACCTTGGCAATATCTTGGGCTGTTTGGGAGTTCCCATGGGGCCCCTTTGAGCAACAACTCTATTAGATGTAACTTATTTCTAGAATAAGAGGCTTCCTTTGGGGGTAAGAGCCATTCAGGTGGGGCTCCGTTTCCTCCATTATTTGTGGATTTCAATAAGACCATTTTCATATATGTACATATTTTAGAAGCTTCTGTTATATTAAGTTTCTATATGACCCCTCAAATGGCTCTTAGTTTTAAGTGTCCCTCCCGGTATTTCCTCTCTTGTTTGACAGTCTATTCCAGTAACCCTCCCTTGTGGTGATTATAATGAGATTGACACCCCCACAGGGTCATAGATTTGAATACTTAGTCTCTGGGAAGTGGCACTAATTGAACAGGTTAGGTGTGCCTGGCAGGGAGTGTTTCTGAGACCCTGTCAGGAATGGCCACTGCGGTCTGAAGTAGAAAGTCTTCCTAGGTATTGGGAGCTGACCCAAGAAATGGGGATGGGCTAGAAGGAGTTGTGAGGCTGAGAGGACTCCTTGGAGGGAGGAAAGCTGGGTTTACTGGCAGGACCTAACTAGTACCCTGAGGATAAGGGGCAGAGAGGAAGGTGAGGTCCTAGCAGGTGGCCTGCTTCAGGTCTGGGGAGTGAGTCTAGGTAATCAGATTTGAAGGACAGAAAAAAAGTGAAGATTTGCCTCCCTGATTCCCGGGCTGGTGTAGCTAGAGGGTTTCCAGGGAGAACCTCCAGAGTTTGAGAGGAAGGGCGGGGGGGGGGGGGGGGGGGGATTGAGGGTCTGAGGCTGTGGGAGAGGCTGTCTGCATTGTTTCCCTGGGAATGGGGCAGAGACGAGGTGAGGCAGCAGCAGGTGGTCTGCTGCACAGCTCAGGAGAAGACTGAGGAACTGGACCTGGAATTAGTGAAGGGGAGAAGAGTGAAAATTGTCTACCTGACACACTGGCCAGACTGCGTGCAAATGGCTTTTAAAGTACGTAGTTGCAGTTGCGTTTATCACAGCCTGTGGCAACTGTTTCTAATTTTATTTTGTATCTTCAGCTTCATTGGTGGTTTACACCCATTTGAATTAGAGAAAGTCAGACAGGGGCATTCAAGACGCTCCAACTAAAGCCTTTTGTTCTAAACAGGCTGAGAAAAAGACATCAAAACAATTTCTTTACAACTAAGCGCATGCCTGCAGCAAATTGCGCTTAACTTAAACCCCCACATTCCTCCTTTTGACACAGAAGTCACGTTTAAGCGACTAGCGAGAAAGGAAGATCAAGCTGCGCCTCTCAGTCACCAATTGTGGTTTTAATAACTAAAACCCTGACGGGTGGCGTGTTTCGTTCTGTTATGTACCTGAGAGAGTTAAGTGTAATGAATTAAAAATATCTGTTCACAGCACCGGGTAAACCAGCTTCGGAAAAATTAAACTGCTGCAGCTGAAGTGCCCTCACTTAGGATGCTCCCTGTCCCTAAGTCATCATCGTCCCAAGTCGTTTGAAAACAAATTTTAAACAGGTGCTTTGTATGGACCTGTCCTCTGGTTACTCTTGTAATATATTCAGCAGGTCTGGAATGGGAAATTGCATTTATTATTATTATTATTATTATTATTATTATTATTATTATTATTATTATAGAGATGCAGAATCTGGGAGAGACCAGGGAAAGTTGGATTGAAAGGGGGAGATGACAAGAGAGTAAGCGGGCTTCAGATGGATGTGTGGGAACCGAGGGAGGACCGGGTCGCCTCTGCCCCCGCTGCCCCCGCTGCCCCCGCTGCCCCCGCTGCCCGCGCGAGCCTGCGATTGGCCCCGCCGACTGGCACCCGGGAGACGCCACTCTGCGCGCCGCCGCCCCTCGCTCCCCGCTGGCTGGGCTCGGCGCGCCTCCGAGCGCTCCGAGGAGAAGCGCAGACCTGGCAGCAGCTTCCGCCAGTCTGTGCGCGCCGCCCTCCTGCTCCCTCGCCCGCCATGGGGCCAACTCACAACTCCTAAGGCTCAGCCTCGGAACACGGGAAATCACAGAAGCAGCAAGCAGACGCCAAGATGAGTTTCCGCAAGGAGGATGGCGTGAGCAGCCTGTGCCAGAAAGCACTGCACATCATCACCGAGCTGTGCTTCGCGGGCCAGGTGGAGTGGGACAAGTGCTCGGGCATCTTTCCCGCTGATAGAGCCAGCCAGGGAGGAGGCGGCACAGGTAAGGGGATAGGCCTGCTCTGCCTGGGACAAGGGGTGTCTTTGGGGCAACCTTCCTAGCTGGCGCCTGTCTCGCCTGGCTAGGGCGACTTGCTCGCTTGGTTTGTTGCCAGCACCTGCTGGGTCACTGTTCCTAGGCGGCTCTAGCGCTCTCCCACCTGCTGCTGTGGCGCTTCAGGGACTCAGTGCCCTGGCTTGTCCTGCAGGTCGCAGCTGGACCACCCAGCCTTGCTGAAGAATCTGCGCTTGGCCTCAAGGAACCTGCGGGTTGAGTGGGCCCTAAATGCCAAGAGGATCCCTCAGCTCTAACTTTCTGATGCAACCTGTCGAGCTCTCCAAAGCTTCCGAGGCCTTTCATAACGCATATGTAATTTTCTAGTGCCTCTTGTTAATGATGGCTAAAGGGTAGGGGTTAATGATACCTGACACTCAAGTCACTTGTCAAGGAAAAGGAAAATATTCTAAACCCTTTTTACACTACTTACTGGCTTCCAGAACCATGGAAGCAAATGGCAGGGGGAAGAGACGTGACCAAATGACCCCAGGGTCACTTGATCTCATTGGGAGATGCACCATTGCCTTATGTAAAGTCTTGTGGCATTCACTTTGTTTTCTTTGGTCCTTTTGGTCTCTGGGCAAGGGTTTCTGGCTGGAGAGGGAGGATAGCCAGGGCAACAGGTAAACCCAACCACCAACTCAGGCTCCAGAGAGAAGTGCGAAGGTGAAGGGAGAGCACAGTTATTGCTCCAGTGTCTACCCTGAGTACTAGACAAAGGAAGGGAGTGTGTGGTGGGATGGGAATGGGTTCGGTTTAGCTGGGACTTGGGGTTGTTTACATGGACTGTCTCCAAGGTTTTCAAATGCTCTGCCGATGGCAACAGAAGCAAAGAGGGGGGTTGTCTGAGTCTGTCAGAACCAGAGGTTCATGAAGCAGAATGATACATTATTGCTGCTGTCAGTGTGATGGAAGCAGTCAGTTTTTGAATGTATAAACACAAGCCAATGTCATTTGTGTTGTTTAGTGGCTGCGAGATTCTTGAGATTAAAGGAAACTGAACAGTGGAAGGGGCCATTTAAACAGTGTGTGTGTGTTTGTGTATGCACCTGTGTGTGATATGTATAATGTACTAAGGGTGTGATAAAAACCGAAGTGCTAGGACTGTAGAGACCTCTGGAAAGAAAGTAAGTAAGCTTTACTGAAATGTCTTAAGCAACCATTAAGCCAAGGCTCAAAGTGCAGGAAGGGAAAATACTTAAATTCTAAGGGCATGTGTTTTGGTCACTAACATTTGATGCTGAAGTTATAGCTCCTAATTCTTAATCTTTCTTGGCCCTTGTGACCACACTAAGAAGTAGTTTCATGACTCTCATTGGCTAGCAATGTAGAAATTGCTTCACGATTGGAAACTAAAATAAGACTAGGTTCTAAACTGTCCAAAATGTGTGCTTGTGTAAATTTGTGGTAAAACAAGGTTTTCCTAGTCACTATAGTGCAGCATCATAGTCAATTCTGTAAAGACATTCACCTGGGAATGAAAATGAAGAAAAATGACTCTAAAACAATTGTGTGAATATTTTCCTCTCTTTAAGGAAAATGTGTACTAAGGATAATCTAACATGGGAACACACAAAATAGTTCTCACTAGAGAGTAGTCAACAAACTGCATATGACTATGAAGACAAACAAGATTCTTCTGCTTTTTCCATTTGTAAATTGTAAAATACTTAAAAACAAAGTAAGTGCTTTGATTTTAAGATAACATTCCAATATTAATGGATCATTGAAACAGATCCAATGATTATTCACTAGTTTTTTAATTACATCAAGTAGGCACTCAGATGCACGTCGTTCTATAGACTTTCTTACAGTATGTTCCCCTTATGATGTTTCCTACATAAAAGCACTTCCAATAGTTGATGTTGGCTGCATTGTAGGTAGGAGAACATCAATTACTTTTATGGATACAATAGTAGTTCACTTTTAAAGGAACCAGTTCATGGTGTTCGTTTAACCTTACAATAACAATCTTGAGATTTGAAATTGCATCACTGTTCATTCCTTCACACAGTCATAGCAAGAGAAAGGTTCATATAGTCCCAGATAAATTCAAGACCACAGAAAGGGAGTTAGAATTCAAACTTGTCACTAAGACAGAAATATGGTCCCCTGGGTCCACAGTCCAGCCTAACAAGCACATGTATTGGTAAAATGTTGAAGATTTAGGTTGTAGCAGCTAATGTTAATTACATTGCCCTTTTAAAATGCTTTGTAAAAGTCTCTCTGTGAATCAACATTACTAGCACTACAAATCCCATCATGTGTAAGTTTTAGAAAATTAGATGCGGGAGAAGTTTAAAAACAACAGCAACAAAAATCATTGATCGATTGACTGTCTTCTTCCTCAAAACGGATATGTTATCCTACAAATTCATTTAGTGCACAGCATGATATAATCGAGAAAGCTTACAGAAATTGAAAAAAATAGCTTGATCTTGGGTATTATTTCTAAAATACACTATACGTAATCATTTTAAAGTGGTTTTAGGCTCATTTCTGGACAGTCTCCCATTACTGTTTAGATGTTTATCGAGTTTAAGAAACTTGTATTGCTTGAAATCAGAGCTCCAAATCCACAGCTAATCAAGACCGTTGATGTTCACAGCCACACTCACATGACAGCTGTGGATAGCTAACCTTAAGATAAATATTCTAATAGGCATTTAACTCATTAGAGTTTCAGATTTGTTTTTTGTGCAATTTCAACATGGGAATATGGACAAATTATTCCAAGTTTGTTCTCTTCTTTAGATGCATATTATTGAGCAGATATTTAACAAAAAATTCCTTTCTGATTGATGTGGATACAGATAATATGCACATTAAGTTCATAAATATATGCCTAAAGAAATCTGGGTATATTCTAAAGATTCAATAAACATTTGCTGAGTGAGCAAAGTATCAAAAAGTAAATGTACTGAGTTTATTGAAATTCTAGCAAAGCAGGATTTTCTGTATAAGAGAGATATCCTTAAAGTTAAAGCGAGGTTGTGTCCCAATTGGAAGCTGATAGTCAATGTCTAAAGAGCACTTACTAAACCCAGCCCACTGAGCTAAAAGGGTGACCCACTTCATTCCCACCTATACTACATACGCTCAGATCATTTCTTCAGCCTGCAGCCAAGCATCGCAAGAAGATTATGCCAATATCATCAACTTAAGAAAAGGCCAGCAATCCAAATTCAAAATATGGTTTCTACCTTATCTCTTGTACCATTATAAAATAAAAAGGTCATGAATTGGAGCCACTCAGTGGCAATTGTCTATATTTTGAAAGCATAATAAGACTCTCTAGATTCATATTGATAAGATTAATGTGCACTTTAAATCACTACAATATTATGTCTTTGAAGACAGAGGTTTGTTTACTGTGTCCTCCCCAGTTCTGGAAACATCCAGGGCACAGACTAGAGACTTGGTAGATAATTTACTGAATAAACAAAATGGCTTCCTTAATGATCCCCAGTAGCAAAGGAAAGCATATGACTTTAAGTAGAAAGTACTTGATGTAATAAAAACCCATCATTAAAACTTTTGTTAGTTATTCCAGCTTAACCAGGAGTCATTGTTTTGCAGATGTGAAAACAGAAGCAAAAGAGAAAAAGGAAGAAAGAAAGAAAGAAAGAAAGAAAGAAAGAAAGAGAAGAATTTACATTTTAATCACAAATCACAACTAGTTTTTGAATATATTTAAGAGCCTTGGCCTTAAACCCCAGCCTTCTTAAATCTTAGCTGCCACAGCAAATACTGGTAAATGTGAAATTTTAACTATTTATGTGCTGTTTGCTATATAACATATGAGAAGGTGCCAACAAAATTTTTCCCACTTACAATTAACTCAAATCCAGAACCTTCCTTCATGTTAGATTTCCTAACACTCATATAGAACATAAGTTATTCATTTGTCATACTTGAATGTGCATTCATGTGCACCTAAGTGTATGTAACTATTTGTTCACCCATATTCTAGTCTAAATAGAATTGATTCATGTTAACAATAAAACTGTGTAAAAGATTACTATTATTATTACTATTTATGTATGGGTGTTTTCCCTGCATATGTCTATATACCATGTGTGAACAGCACCCACAAAGGCCAGAATGTCAGATCCCCTAGAACTATAATTACAAATGGCTGTCAGCTACCATGTGGGTGCTGGGAACTGAGGCTGGGTCCTCCACTGAGCAATCTCCCCAACCCAATGTAAAAAAAATTAGCATATTAAATGTATTAATGTTGAATTGAATTTTATGGGCACATAAAATAGATAAATGTATCATAGAGAAAGATGTTAGAGCAAAATAAATTATTTTTTCTAATTTTCCATTTTTTTTTTAAATCAGTAAAACTCTGATTTGTATATTTTCTTGCCAAATTTAGGAACTAACAGTCTATATTATTACTAAAATTAATTACTGTGAAACAATGAAAACAGTGTGACAATGGAAGAGAGCTAAATTACTCTTCTCAAAGGTTCTGAAACATAATTAGTTTATGCACTAAACTCCCTGATAACGAGTATTTTAATAAAGGTCAGTAAATTATACTCTCTCGTTTCTAACTTGTACAGTGTCAGTTGTACTGATCAAGTTGAGAGATTTAATCCCTGTGTGAAGGTGTAGTTTCTTATTACTAATACTAGATTTCCTTTGCCTCATAGCATCAAATATCTCATAAGGACCCCCCGGGCTGTAAATCTGAGAGGAATATTGGTCCAGTAGACCATCATGAAAAACTACATACACACATTCTATTACCTGTGAGCTCAATGCAAACTCATCCCCATAAGTCTGAGGGCTCCACACCGGTGGATGGAAAACACTTAGAGAAACAACTGTGTCTAGTTTGTGCAGATTCCTTTTCTTACCATTGCTCTTTGAACATGCAAGGTTGCAGCTATCGCATAGGCTATACATAATTCTAGGTACTGCAGGAAATCCAT